TTGCGCCATGGAACAAGCGCACCTTGTTCATCATGCTCTTAAAGGGAATGTGATATGATGCTCTTATTGGTTTGTTTCCCGTTACGCCCAAACCGCACCTATGAATAATGAAGCTACTTCAGTCCAACCCCTTTTAGATTTGCTCCGAGCGCAAGAGTCATTTATCCCGCCGGTTAAATAGCAACAGCGCCGAGATCCGCCCACAAAGTTACTTGCGCTTTGCGCTTGACACTTGCGTTTTAGATCGTTAAAATAGGGCCCATAGTGTAGGTTTGTATAAATGATACTTTTATTCTCAAATACACCTGTACGACCTGTAGTCTGTGTGTATTGCGAGGTCCAAAATAATTAGCATGCTAAAGTTTATAGACAAGCTCGCTAATAATGAAGAAACATCAAGGTGGAATATAACAAACAACTCCGAAACATGTAGTCAAATGCATACATGTTTTCTTCCCACACATTATTCCCTTTCCAATCCTGACTGTTATTTAATGGGAGAAAAAAAACAACAACCTTGAATTAAACACATTAAACAGCCCCTCCACAGGAGCCGAGTCTCTCCAGCGCTTCTTTCTGCTCTCTGAAGCCCATCTATTAGTGTCTCAGCCTCTGCTATTCATTACATGCGGCAAATAAACTCGAGATAATGCAGCTTTCACCCGCCCCCACAATTCATCTCTCTGACATCTCCACACATTAATATTCATTACCGAGTGGCATTTTGACAAACAAACGCCCCGCTCGCCGCAAACTCTGCGAATCGGTCGGGTGTTGTGCTGCGTTCGGGATGATGTGCCGTGATTTATCGGGAGGTTTCTGGCCCTGCGTGATCATGTACTCAACTGGGTCACGGTGCCTTTCTTTATTCGCAAGCCTTATTAATGCAAACAATACACCGGCTCGATTAGTTTCCAGATAACGGCAGAGGTAGGTCACCGATCCCTGCGTTTCCATTCCAGAGATCCAAAGGGGAGAATTGACTAAAATGAATTGCTCCCGCTGATAGCACTATTTATTTGCACGTGGTGCACGAGTTGTTTTAGCACAACGCATTTATGCAAATCAGATAATGACGCAAACGTAGCGACACACAAAACCTGCAGTGGGCTTGGTGCAAATCCCATTCTTCTGAGTACTAAAGAGTGGAAGCACATTATCATAATCTAATGTAGTGATTGCGCTGAGTAACTCCACAATAGCACAGGTTTATGATCAATACGAGCCTCATTGGAAAGAAGGCATGTTTGCACTGGAAAGAATAGAAAATACTTTATTTAAATACAGTGCATCCTTATTTTAGCACATTTAGTGCCCGTTTAAACTGGATTGCCATGCAGTCAAAATAATGATGCATGAGTCATGAAGAAGAAGACAAAACAAACAAACAAACAACAATGTATGCAACGAAATAATACAAGTAAACGCAAAAGTATGTTAATAGAAAAAGTGATACATTTTTGTTTTTACTACTAAAAGTGGCCAAAAGTGATGTCTTTATGTTGCTTTATATTTTTTAAATATTTAAAATATTTGGGAAGAAAGAAGACACTAAACTTGGTTAAGGTATTTATCTGACAAAAGTATTTGGCAAAAAAGACACTAAAGCAACAGGTTTTGTTTTACTATGCAAAAAAAACAAAAAGCACATAAAAACAAAAAGCTCAGGAAAATTATACATTGACTACAACATAATCAGTAATTAATATTTCATTGGTTTTTTCTTGTTTTTGCATGTTTTCACAATTTCTTTGTATGACAGCCTGGCCAAAACTGATGTCTGGACAATTATTTCTCATGTTTTATTGCGTTATCATCACAAATAAAACAATCGACTCCAAGCACAACAACGCAATATGCTGACAAAATGTTTTAATAAATGTTTACTTATAAAGATGTCACTTGGTTGGACATCACTTTCGGCCACTACTGAATACGAGTCGACATTCTGACTTCAATCCAGTAAAACAAAACAAATTTAACACTATTTGTTTCTAAAGAAAAAAATGCACAAAAAAATGCTTTTTTATGCAGTATTTTTTAGTGAATTGACCCCAAAGTGTTGACAAGAACTCCTGGTAACAGACACATGTTATTATGAATTGCACAACACACAAACTGCTGACACTAGTGCATCTTTAGTGTTTCTGTGTTTATTGTTGCATCTAAAGACATGTCATCCGGCTCATTGAGACGAGGCTTTGCTTTATAAGACAAACCTGACTTCAGGCTACACTTTTGCTTTAAAGAGCCGCAAATTAGATTACACCAGGTGTTTGAGTACAAATAGACTTTTTTATTGGGCGAACTTGACTGCTGGGCTTAAACAAGCAGAACAAAAAAAAGAAGTGGAGTAAATTACTGGTTCCAGAACAGGTTCCAGACATGTGTTGAGTGCACCTAATCTCACAATGTGCTTGCGTACACAATTTTGTGCCATTAAACTCCAGCCGCCTGATCCAGCTGTAATCCTGCAGAGAATATAGCCAACCCCTGGATCGCTAACACACACACACACACACACTGTTTGCTTTGGATCATCTGAAACAGCAGTACGAGACCTAATGAACCACGAGAGCGATATATAACCTCTCTTCACTGGGGAAGAACATCAAGACCAGGAGAGGTCAATGAACAGCAGAACCTGAAGTGAGCGTCAGGCTATTTTCCACCGGCGCACATGAATATGAAGTTTGTACTGGTGCGACATCAACTAAAGTACTGAGAGACGCCGGATAGAAATTATGGCCTTTAAGCCGATTCTTGGAACATATTTCTTGTTTCCAGTTCAGAGAGAGATCTTTGTGACAGAAATAGAAGTGGAGGTCAACTCTTGTCCAGGGAAATATGATGAATGTTTCCTCTGTTGCACAAAATAGCAGAACTCAAGCAGATTCTTACATTTTTCAGAGTGGTTTTTGCTCGTGTTTTGATGCTAGAGCGTTCTGGGTGGCTTTTACCGGCCCAGGTTGAATTAACACTCAAGTTTCTGATATTCTGGGACCAGACGCATCAAAGAAAGCCCTTCAGTTACAGTAAGAAAACCCTCAGTCGCAACAGAACTGTTACTCTGTTAACTTCAGGTGTTTCTTGCGACCGGCTGCTGATCTTTAGATTTGACTCGATGTAAAGGTGTGCTCAACATTACTCTATTCAATTTCATGAGCAAAATTCAGTCATTTCAGAATTTCGCCTGATGGACTTTCCTGTGGAATAGAAATATTCCTATGCAAATTTCCTTTCAGATTCAAGCTTAGATGTTCTGGATGGAGATTCGTACCTAGGCAAAGCTTAGTAAAACGTCAATAGTATAAAATTGTCCATTATTAAGAGGCTGTCGGACAGCAGTGATTTCGGCTGGTGTGTTTGCTAGACTGCACAGTAGCTTTGGATGAGTTTTTCTTTAGTTCTTCATTAATTGAATTTCGCAAGTTTAATTTTTTTTATTAGTTTTGTACTTTTGCAATTGAGTACAGCTCTGTATTTTGCCAGATTGTTCACTATATGAATCATCATTTTGATGATGTATTCAGGGTTGGTTTGCTAGCCAGCAGAATAGCTTCGGATGTTTATTGTATGTTTATCACTAATTGTATTTCATCACATCCAGTCACGCTTTTTTGTCACCTGCGAAATTTTGCCAACTAATGGTAATTGTATGTGACTATACCTCAAGTCTGCTTATTTTGCCATTTTACTCTCAATAAATCTTTGAAAAATGTATGAAAAAATTAGTGCTGTCAAATGATTAAAATATGTAAGCCCGATTAATCGCATTAATGTCATAGTTAACTCGCGATTAATCGCACATTTTTATCTATTCTAAATGTCTCTTGATTTCTTTTTGTCCCATTATTTTTTCTCATTTTAATGCTCTTATCAACATGGAAAACTGGATCGGCTTGCTTTGTGCAAATGTATTTTATTGAGAACAACATTGACATATACTGTGTTCAATTTCACACTAACATTCTCACTTGGAGCAAATAATCTCTCACACAATGTAACACTGTCCATCAACAAAAGGGTGAAAGAAATACTGACGAGGTCCTGATATTGACGAGGGGGCGGAGGATTCGCATCAGCTGTGTGTGTGTGTGTGTGTGTGTGTGTGTGTGTGTGTGCTTGGCCATCATCAAGTGGTGTTTCAGACTGGACGTGCTGCGATGATGATAGCTCAGTTCACAACGACAAAACACACAGATCACATTGGTCTTGTCAATGGAACCATTTGGCAACTTTTTAAAAGTAAACTTTCAATTCAGAATCTTATTGGCATCCATTTCGGCGTCTCGCGCTCGTCATCCACTCAAAACGTAACGGCTCGCAGACCCAAACGAGTGTGTGCGGCGTGCCTGTTGTTTTGCTTCCAGTCTAGCTAGATCTTCTTGCGCTTTGGTCGACGAAGCAACAAAACGTCCTCGCGCGGCGCAAGCCATTGAAATGAATGGGTTTCATAGCGCAGCGCCGCGTCCTGTTGCAAAAGCATGTGAAAAAAACTACAAAGTTTGCTAGGCCAAAAAGACCGTTAATCGCGCAATAAAAAAAATGACGCCGTTAAAATGGGTTTGCGTTAACGCCGTTAATAACGCGTTTAACTGACAGCCCTAGAAAAAATGCATTGCAACATTTCTTTTTTTTTTTGGTGCAATTAAATACAGCTCTTAATACGAATCATCATTTTGACTCCAATGAGACACGTCCTTTTGCTGAAAGATTGCACGCAAAATGATTGCAACAGCTTTCTGCTTTACCTGCGACCTGAACAACGCTAAATGTGATGCACCTCAAGTCTTTAATTGCTGTTTTATCATCCGCCAATCATTAAAAAAAAGCAAATGCTCACTTTAAAAATGAAACAACGTGCTTTGCTTTAAAGCCACGAGATCTGAGTCATCATTTATGTTTGTCGCAAACAGTTTAATATTTAGGGTTAGGAGTTTATTCAAGCAAGCATGAGCCGAACAGTGATGTTTTCAAGCATTAAATACGCCTCTTACCTTTTCCGTCAGTGTTCCCGGTCGAGGGAGAAAGGCTCTTAGGAGGATCCTTGTTGGCGTTTTCCCTGCTGACCGGGGAACTCTTGTGTTTGAGGCATTTGGGCGCGTCCAAGGATTTCAGCTTCTTGGCGTGTTTGGTGCCTTTGTAGTGGGCCAATGCCTGGCTCTAGGAAACACAAAACAGGCCAACCCGTGGAAGGGCCAGCCCAGACCAGGTGTTAGCAACATCAGACCAGACTCTGAGCCATCATGAGCAAACAAGCTCACGTGTGTCCACATCAAACCAGCGAGCAGAGCCCATGCATCTGTGAGGGTGAATGTGCCGAGGCGGCCATCTTTAACCCAGCCCAAATACAGCTCTCAGTGTGTGAATCCTATACGTAAAGCCACAATTTGTGTGTGTGGACTCTCTGGATCTGCTCCAAAGCCTAATGAGACGCAGACTTATGCTGCAGATGTTAAGGCACCACAGGTGATGTGCTGTACAATGAAACGGGGAAAATGGAAATGGAAAAAAAAAAGTAATTCACACAAGATGCTTTAAAACATTGGAGAAAGGAATTTAAAATGTGCAAATGTTGGTTAATATACACGGGAACCTGTTATATCTTGATTTAAGATTAGCAAACATCATTTAAGAAATTATTAATAGTAATTATAATATATATATAATTATAACATAATAATGAAATATTTAAAAAATATATATCAAGTACTGTTAATTCGATTTTTTCATATTTATTGAAAATTAAATAGTTACATTAAATTGATCACTATAATAATTGCATAATTAAATTGTACTTATACTGATAATTAAACTATAATGGTAACAATTATAATATACCTGTGTTAAATATATAACCACCAGTATATTTAATCATATAAAAAATGTGTTAAGGTCAGTTTATATATATATATATATATATATATATATATATATATATATATATATATATATATATATATGTATATAATATTCTGTTTGTTGCTTTTCTCTTTTAACACTGTACCAACACAACATAACATTTATTAATTAAGTTAAAAAAAAAAGTAAAAAAAATGTGTCTGTTTTTTTTATCCAAGACTTTGTAATTTTATGTCTATTCAATGTTTTCATCTGCAACAGTAATTTAATATCTTTAATATATCTATAATTATAGATACGATATCTAGATTTGTTATTATATATCTATAATAATATAATAATAAATCTATCAATAAATATTGATTCAAGTGATCTAGCAACCAGTCAAACAGCACAGACGTCTGTGAATAAGGTGCAATCTATAATGAGCTTAATTTACATATAAAGGAGACGTGTTTGTGCCGGAAAGAATGACAATGACTTTAATTAAACATTCACTGCGTTAATTCAGCGCATTTAGTGCCTGGTTAAAACTGGAATGATGAAATAATCAGCATATCATATAATTAATTTGACTATAATTTTCAGTTGATTGACAGACCTACTTCTGATTCATGCATTACCAAGTTATATATAATTAAATAATCAACTACTTAACCCGATAGTAATGCATCTTATGCTTATATACGCATTACATCATAATATCAGAAGCATGTTATTTCAAAACTCAATTGAAATCAATAGGGAGTCGAGTCTCCCGTTTGAGGAGTGATATTTGTATGTTCCCTATATAGGCAGCTCACTAGGTTTGGCCTAGTCTGAGTAATGGTGTGGTTTAAAGAGTGTGACAGAGAAGAAAAGATTTGTACGTGTGTGAGGTTATTATCCCCTATGACACAGTCCCATACATTACACCTCCAGCTCACGAGGATGACTTTAGTATGGAAGCTTGTTTCTGCCACAGAATGAAAAATAAAAAAGGTAATTGCGACTTTTTATCTCGCAATTCTGACTTTATTTCTCAGAATTGTGAGATATAAAGTCAGAATTGCGTGATATAAAGTCAGAATTGCGAGATATACTGTAAAGTCAGAATTGCGTGATATAAAGTCAGAATTGCGTGTTATAAAGTCAGAATTGCGTGATATAAAGTCAGAATTGTGTGATGTAAAGTCAGAATTGCGTGATATAAAATCGCAATTGCGTGTAATAAAGTCAGAATTGCGTGATATAAAGTCAGAATTGCATGAAATAAAATCGCAATTGCGTGTAATAAAGTCAGAATTGCGTGATATAAAGTCAGAATTGCGTGATATAAAATCGCAATTGCGTGTTATAAAGTCAGAATTGCGTGATATAAAGTCAGAATTGCGTGATATAAAGTCAGAATTGCGTGATATAAAATCGCAATTGCGTGTTATAAAGTCAGAATTGCGTGATATAAAGTCAGAATTGCGTGTTATAAAGTCAGAATTGCGTGATATAAAGTCAGAATTGCGTGATATAAAATCGCAATTGCGTGTTATAAAGTCAGAATTGCGAGATATACTGTAAAGTCAGAATTGCGTGATATAAAGTCAGAATTGCGAGATATACTGTAAAGTCAGAATTGCGTGATATAAAGTCAGAATTGCGAGATATACTGTTAAGTCAGAATTGCGAGATATAAAGTCAGAATTGCGTGAAATAAAGTCAGAATTGCGAGATATACTGTTAAGTCAGAATTGCGTGATATAAAGTCAGAATTGCGAGATATACTGTTAAGTCAGAATTGCGTGAAATAAAGTCAGAATTGCGAGATATACTGTAAAGTCAGAATTGCGTGATATAAAGTCAGAATTGCGAGATATACTGTAAAGTCAGAATTGCGTGATATAAAGTCAGAATTGCGAGATATACTGTTAAGTCAGAATTGCGTGATATAAAGTCAGAATTGCGTGAAATAAAATCGCAAATTGCGTGATATAAAGTCAGAATTGCGTGAAATAAAATCTCAATTGCGTGATATAAAGTCAGAATTGCGTGAAATAAAATCTCAATTGCGTGATATAAAGTCAGAATTGCGTGATATAAAATCGCAATTGCGTGATATAAAGTCAGAATTGCGTGAAATAAAATCTCAATTGCGTGATATAAAGTCAGAATTGCGTGAAATAAAATCTCAATTGCGTGATTTAAAGTCAGAATTGCGTGATATAAAGTCAGAATTGCGTGATATAAAATCGCAATTGCGTGATATAAAGTCAGAATTGCATGATATAAAGTCAGAATTGCGTGATATAAAGTCAGAATTGCGTGATATAAAGTCGCAATTGCGTGATATAAAGTCAGAATTGCATGATATAAAGTCAGAATTGCGTGTTATAAAGTCAGAATTGCGTGATTTAAACTCGCAATTGTGAGAAAAAAAGTTAGAATTGTGATTTCTGTGACATTTGTGAATTATTATTGTGCAATTATTATTATGTATTTTTTTAATCAGTGGCGGAAACAAGCTTCCATACTTTAGGGAACACTTTACAATAAGGTTCATTAGTTAACATTAGTTCATGTATTATCTAACATGAACTAACAATGAGCAATACATTTGTTACTGTATTTATTAATCTTTGTTGATGTTAGTTAATAAATATCCAGCTGTTCATTGTTTGTTGATGTTAGTTAATTAACAGTGCATTAACTAATGTTAACAAATGCAACCTTTGATTTTAATAATGTATTAGTAAATGTTGAAATTAAGATTATAAATGCTGTAGAAGTATTGTTTATTCTTAGTTCATGTTAACTAATGAACTTTATTGTAAAGTGTTAACGGAAAAAACAAATCTGTTAATATCCGCGGGCACAATGCATCAAACGCACTTGCTTTCACCTTCAAACCAGATTTATTATGGCTCAGTTTGACCAGGCCATACACACACACCGTCTTTAGTCGCCCTTGTTTAGCTCTCCGCTAACTCCTGGACGCCTGTCTGACATTGCTAACAGCGGGAGGAGGCTAGCAAGAGACGGACACACACTTCTCTGAATAAATAAGGCAGTCGACGACCTCGCTATATGCAAAAACATGATGGGCATGCGAGTAACAAAGACACAGATGCTAGGGTACACAACTGCGTGTTTGCAAGCACACTGTAAAGAAATTAAGCTAGTACAACAACAAAAATCTTAGTACTTATTTCCACTAGCTTTTTCTTGTTGACTCAACTTTTGTCTGACACACACACACACACACACACACAAAAAACGTTTAACTTGACATTATTTGTTTTCTGGAGAGGTGCAACTATTCTGTAACAAATTTTTTGTAGTTGAACCAATTCAACATTTTTTTGTCTATTGGAATTTATTTTATTAAAAATCATTTGGTCATCACCATTTTGGTCTTTGTAACTGTGTTTAGAAAAACACATAATTTGTTGCTATAAGAAAGAAACCAAGATGATCAAGTTTTCAGCCTCATAAACTAGAATAAATCCCTATAATCTTATTTCTGACCATAAGTGATTTATTTTTAATTCATATTTTACCGGTAAAACTTTCTTGCAGCAGATCAGACATTCTGGATTCTGAATTTTAAAATACGTTATGGGGAAAAAAGTCTTTTGACACACACACACACACATCAAAAATCAGCATATGAAATTATAAAACTTTATAATACAATTAATATTTAGCATTTTTGTTCAGTGAGTTTTAGAAAAAATATATAATAAATAAATAAATAAAATAAAAAATAAACATATTTTTTTTAAATCACAATAATCATAAATAATTATATTTATTTTAATAGTTAGATTGAAACATTTTAAATTAGGAATAATAAAAAAATTATTTATTATTTATTACCGTCCATAAAACTGTATCTTCCATAGCATAATTTATAAGCTAGTCTACGTCTGTTAGTAAAACATTAAGTTTACTCAGATTTGCTTTGTTGAGCTTTCAGTTCAATATCTTGCAAACAACATATTTCATAACATTCCTCTCAAGATGCATGTCTTCACAACACCAGCTTGCTTGCCAGAGAGGTAGTTTTATAAGGACATTAAGGGCAGATATACTGTTATGAAAAGCAATAAGACGTCATGACAGATCAGTCTTCTTTTGATATATTGTATTTGTACAAATAGCAGCGCGGGATATGGATCATAATCATATAGATTTATATCACGGGGGTTTGTAAGTAACACATCATTTGAGCGGGATAGTGTTATGAAAATAGCTTTAACACCAAGATAAATGGGGTGTTTCTCGACACCTTCCAGCTATTGGTCTCGTCGGCCAATCACAGGGGAGAA